AATCGACCGAGTTGAGCATGTGGAATTTTTTGATGGCTCTGATACATTCTTCTCTGTTATGAAATTTGTCTTTCTCTTTTAAGATTTCATCCGACTGCATATACGGATTGAAAAATAAATCAGAAGACGGTTCATCTCCCCCCATGTTGAAGTTTTTCGTGTGCGGAGGTGGGGTGTAGATCTCGTTTGCAGGAATACCAGGTATCCCTTCGTCTTCGGAATCATCATTGACCATTTCATCAAACTCCAACTCATCATTTTCTTCTTCTTCTTCATCAACTGCATCTACTTCTGCTTGTTTGGTCTCCAAAGGATCAACCACTTGTGACATCTGAGGCTCTCGCAGCATAATGTACAACTCAATAGAGTCATACCCAGAATACTCATGACTGGAAAACATATTCTGAAGATCTTCGTCATCTTGAACCTCAACCTTATAAAATATTATTTGGTTGTTACCAAAAAAAACCGAATTCTTATAAAATATTTGTGTCACGGGGCCTCGTCCAAGTTTGGCCTCCAATCATTTTTTGAAGTACAATAAATTGGCTTTCCTGTTTAAACAAAATCTGATGTTGTCTGTGTCTCTAAATAGAAACCCAAAGGTCAGACAAATGTATGTCTCACTGTTGAAATGCACACTGATGACATATTGGGGTGCAAAGGCCATTGTGTATGACTGCTTGAAGGTTTGAAGGTTGGAAGGTTTGAAGTTTATGAGTTATTTGCAGGAATTTTTGAATGTTCTAGTGTTTGAGAGATTAAGTGAATCAGTGTTTTGATAAATGCAAGACTAAATAGGTCATACTGAATTTTAATTAACCAAGGTTGTAACCTCTAAGGCTCCTCCCATTACGTCCAATAGTGTTACATGCATTCAGAGATGCCTTCTCCAAGGCTATCACCTAGCCTGCGCCTACTCTACAACTCATGCCACCTCTTATTCGCCAATGGGGATGGCGACACCTTTCAATTTTGTACTCTTTCGCCAAGTCCAATGGTGCCTCCCTTCATGTCTAATCGTGTTACATGCATTCAGAGATGCCTTCTCCAAGGCTGCCACCTAGCTTGCGCCTACTCTGCACCTACACTGTAACCTCTAAGGCTCCTCCCTTCACGTCCAATAGTGTTACATGCATTCAGATATGCCTTCTCCAAGGCTGTCACCTAGCCCGCGCCTACTCTGCAACCCATGCCACCTCTTATTCGCCAATGGGGATGGCGACACCTTTCAATTTTGTACTCTTTCTCCAAGTCCAATGACGCCTCCCTTCATGTCCAATCGTGTTACATGCATTCAGAGATGCCTTCTCCAAGGCTGCCACCTAGCCTACGCCTACTCTGTACCTACACTGTAACCTCTAAGGCTCCTCCCATCATGTCCAATAGTGTTACATGCATTCAAAGATGCCTTCTCCAAGGCTGTCACCTAGCCTGCACCTACTCTACAACCCATGCCACCTCTTATTCGCCAATGGGGATGGCGAAACCTTTCAATTTTGTACTCTTTTGCCAAGTCCAATGGCGCCTCCCTTCATGTCTAATCGTGTTAGATGCATTCAGAGATGCCTTCTCCAAGGCTGCCACCTAGCCTGCGCCTACTCTGCACCTACACTGTAACCTCTAAGGCTCCTCCCATCACGTCCAATAGTGTTACATGAATTCAGAGATGCCTTCTCCGAGGCTGTCACCTAGCCTGCGCCTACTCTTCAACCAATGCCACCTCTTATTCGCCAATAGGGATGGCGACACCTTTCAATTTTGTACTCTTTCGCCAAGTCTAATGGCGCCTCCCTTCATGTCCAATTATGTTACATGCATTCAGAGATGCCTTCTCCAAGGCTGCCACCTAGCCTGCGCCTACTCTGCACCTACACTGTAACCTCTAAGGCTCCTCCCATCACGTCCAATGGTGTTACATGCATTCAGATATGCCTTATCTAAGGCTGTCACCTAGCCTGCGCCTGCTCTGCAACCTATGCCACCTCTTATTCACCAATGGGGATGGCGACACCTTTCAATTTTGTGCTCTTTCGCCAAGTCCAATGGCGCCTCCCTTCATGTCCAATCGTGTTACATGAATTCAGAGATGCCTTCTCCAAGGCTGCCACCTAGCCTGCACCTACTCTGCAAGAGTGACACTTATCATGCATGCATGCACCCGCCTACCACCTCACTTACTCTATGAAATTTTTTTGCCTATAAATACAGAGAATTACATACTTCTCTCGCATCCACAATCGTCTCACTCTCTGCTACAAAATCTCTCATAATCTCTTACAATTTCAAACTCTTTCAAAATCTCAGGCATTTTCAACAACGGCTCTTCTCACAATGGGCGATTCTCACAGAGGCACAAGGGACAACATTGCAACATTTGTAAGTTTCTTTTATAGTTATACATTTTTCATACTTATAGTATTTCTTTATTCATCTTACTTACTCTTACACCTTTTACATTATTAACTTAGGATACCAAAAGATTCAGAATCCGGTCACACAACTACCTTGCTCCAGACCCATTGATCGTACCATATCTAGAATACGCAGGTTTTGGAAACGTTATAAAGATCTCCAACAACACAATTGATTCAAAGTTCATACTTGCAATGTTGTAAATGTGGAGACCAGAGACCCATACATTTCACCTACCAATAGGTGAATGTACCATCACGCTAGAGGACGTGTACATGTTATTGGGTCTCCCTGTTAATGGTAAGGCCGTTAACATGTCAGTTCAACAACCCAATTCTCTATGTGAAGAATTGTTGGGCAGGGATATGGTTGATAGTGGTGGTGCGAGAGGTCAAGGTATACTACTAATTGAGCTAAAAAATCATTATGCGACTCTGGAATTAAACGAAAATTCCTCAGAGCTAGCAAAGGTAATAAAATCTAGAACTTATATAATTATACTATTTGGAACCCTTTTATTTTCCAAAAGTACGGGAAATAGTGTAAATTTTATGTATTTAAATTTACTTAGAGACTTCGAAAAAACTAGAAAGTATAGTTGGGGTTCTCCTGTTTTAGCCCATCTATACAGTTCCTTGTGTAAAAATGCAATCAAGGAAAAAAAGTACATTTTATGGATGCACTTTTTTACTTCAAGCCAGGGGTTGGTGGAGGATGGAGTCCCTAAATCCTGTCAACAACAACACATTCGTTTTCCCATACGCAACAAAGTAAGTCATCAAGTTATATCATTTATTACTATTCATCTCTTCACCAAAATATGATAAAAATAAAATATTTTTCATTTCCTTTAGGTATTGCGTGAGGGGTATGGATTACGGCAAGAATCCAAGATTCAATGTCGCACTATACCGCAATCTACTGGATCACCTTGGCCCAGATGATGTACGTCGTACCTTTCAACTTTTCTACTTTTAAATTATTTATATATTACTGTTGTACCCCAAAATTTGCCCTCCCATTTTCCACTCAGGATGCTATCCCAGGGTTCTTCAAACACTCAATTTGGCTCAAAAGTTGATCAAGCAGATTCTCCTCCTAAGCAAACAATCAGCAATTAGGGTTTGGCGCTTCTCAAAGAAAATTGAGCCCTCAAGGTTTCATTTGGTTTTTCATAAGTCTTCATATCCCCTCAGAATGGTTTAGACCAGTTTTCAGACCTTGCAGTACAAGTTTTCTCAACCAATGGTCCAGATAACTAAATACAACTACAACAACCCCAAAATTTGACCTTTTGCGAGAATAAATTCAAACGATTGTAACTTCTTCATTATCCAGTATTTTTGAGATGTTTTTCTTGCACATGACTCTCCTCGACATCGTCTTCAATTCCTCTTTACAAGTCAAGAGCCGATTATGTGCGAAAGATCATCAAAATTTCGAATACTTTAGAGGTCACTTTATGGATTTTGACCTAATCTCGAGTAATTGTTGCCTGATTTCCATGAATCGTAATTTCCTCAATTTCCAAGATCTTGAGATGGTTATTTTTGCACATTGTCATAAGCGATGTCATCAACAAGTCCTTTTCAAAAAATCAAAGGAAAATTATGTTTAAAAGACCTTGGAGTTATCAAATTGTCATAAGTTTGTTTCAATTGAAGATCCAAGAGCCATGATTAGGGTTTCACCTCATACAAGCTTATCAGAGGAATCAACCATTGGTTTAAAGTGCAAAGATATTGAAGAGATTATGGGGTAGTCATGGCACGCTAGGGTTTTGATTCAATGATGTTTTACTATGCGAGGTTGAGGTAAAAGATTTTCTCAAAGGATCTCATCCATGTAGATATGGTTTCATTAGATCTCTTTGACAAGCAAGAGGCTTAGTCGTTATTTGAATCATAAGGAATGTGATTATGGATTTATACAAGAGGAGAAGATATTCAATTAGGGCGGCAGATGCTTAAGGTAAATCATTTCATTTGATCACTTGGTTACTTATAACATAAGTTTCTTTGGATATCATGTAATGTCACAAGCTAAAGGCCAAATACAATCTTATGAAGCATTAGGGTTTTGAGTTAAAGATCAAAAAAGAAACAATCAAGCTTAGCCATTCATGTGAAGACATTTGAGCATGGATTCATTCAAAGTGTTAAAGTTGAAGACATTTAGACATGGTTCATTCAAAATAGAAAAGTATAATCAAAATTGACATCCAAATTCCAAGCCAAAGTTACAAATTTCAAACCATGCTACATTGCCCTCATATTGGTCTTACATCAAAGGAACAATTATACAAATTCAATTCATGTTTTCCAAATTTTCAAATTACAAATTGCAAGAGATTACACAAGTTCTTTTGTACATGGAAACCAAAAGTCTTCCCTAAGCATGTGCTAACTTGCTTCTGAAATCCTCCATTTGGTTTCCAACCATGGCCTTTCATCTTCAATCTGTCATGCTGCTTTGAACCTAGGATCAATCTTCAACTTTCCCTTGTCTTATTCACTTCCAAATCAATACTCGTCACATGAAAAAAAGGAAGAAAGCAAGTCAACAAACATTCAACCAAAGGCGATATGAAAAGAAGAAATAATTCATCACTAGGGTTTGCAGATAGGAATCAGAATATTTGTTTGTTTTATCACAATCATTTTCCCCAACTGCAAATCACAAAAAAGACTACCTTTCTTGGTTCACAAAAGAAGAAAAAAAATAAAAATTACAAACAGCAAGCAATAACATGTGCAATTCAAAGCCACAACATAACCAAGTCTGTAAAGAAAACCCTATCCATTGCTGCCCAACCTGTTATACATACAACACCCAAACTACAAGCCAAATAACATGCAGAAAACAGCAAAATAACAGCACAACAGGCCAACATCGCAACAAAAGCAACCAAAATCAGCTAATAGAGGCTGCTACAAATAACAACAATCAGCCAGTCAAAATGCCCAAGGCTACAAATAGCTAACAACAGGCCTGCAATAAACCTAATCAAAACAGCAAAAACCTGCCACAATAACAACAGCCCCAACACAGCAGTGCTAGCAACAAGAAAGCCACAACAAAACAAACTGCAATAAACAAAAACAAACAATATGCAAGCTAACATTAGCTCATATCTAGAACAAATTATATCATCATTTTCCTTAAAACATACAAACACTTCAGAATTTCAATAGGTAAACAAATTTGTTTATTTTCATTGAAAGACGAAAGAGGAAAGAGATCACCTAGGCCACAAACAACCCAAAATTGTCAAACACTGCTACAGCCCATAAGCATGTTATGTATGCTGCAAAATTGCCCAAAATACATCCTACAAAAACTCTGCTAAAAAAAACAGTCAAAACGATAACAACCTATTTCCTTGTTTTCTGCCATTAACCTGTCCAAAACAGTCCAGAGTTGCACTAAAATGGCAAAAACATCAACTTGCACTCAAAAGCCACAGATCAGCATATCAAATCTGTTCAAAACTCGCCAATACTCCCCCCCCCCCCCCCAAAACCCACTCTCATTGAATATAAAAAGAAGAGCTCTGCATTAACTTTGAAGAGGTTCATAACACAAACAACCAGAAACCAAACCTCACTGATTAGAATCCATAGAAAAAACAAAGAACTAAAAACCAAACCTCACCGATCAAAACATCACCACAAACTCACCAAAACCCTTATCTTAGATCCTGAACAAACATCATAGACAAAAACCAGCAACATCAACACCAGCTCACAAAAACCCTTGTCTCAGATCCTGAACAAAGATCATAGACAAAAACCAGAAACATCAACACCAGCTGACATAAACCCTTGTCTCAAATCTTAGACAAACATCATAAACCAAAAACCAGCAACATCAACACAAGCTCAACCGAAATCCTAGCCAAAAAAACAGCATACAGAGCCAACATAAGCAATAATTACCAAAACCAGATTTTTCTCAAGAAACCAACAGTTTCAAAACCATTACAAAAACCAAATGTCTCAACCAAAACCCTAGTCTCCATTTACAACAACATCAACGAGCAAAACAACAACAGAAAATCAAGAAAAAAGAACAAAAATACCGAGAAGCTTTTGGTTTTTCTCAACGTCATCCTTTGACCTAAAGAAGTTGGCGACGTCTCTCTGTTCAGTAAGTCATCTTTCTCCCTCTCTTTGCTCATTTTTCTCACATTGTATGAAGGTCTGAATATCACAGGGACATATCCCTAAGGTTGTGAAACATAACCCTTCATCAGAAACGTTTGATCGAGCTTCCCACCATTTTAGGTTTCCCTTTAGGTTTGATTGAAGGATGAATTAGGGAGAGTGAGGTTTGGAATTGGGAATGAGATGAGGGATAGAGGCAGTGATACTGAGAGGAAATAGGCGAGTGAGGTCTTGGGGAGAGGTTGGGTTGAGAGAGTTAGAACAGGACTTTTCGCTTGAGAGGAGGAATTTTCCTGTTGCTTCACGACTCCTTTGGCCTTGGCATTTTTGTTTGCTAGGGTTCAAATAACCCGTTTGGGATCAAAGTAAGGTCGGGTCTGGACCCAACCCGGTCCAGCCCATTAGTTTTTTATTTTTTTTATTTTTGTTTAGTAAGACAATACATTCATGGACCCTACCCCCCAAGCCCAATGTCTCTCCAGCCTCACCCCTAACTTTCTATTTCATGCCCTTTTCCTTGTAATTATTTTGTTTAGTTTTAGTTTAGTTTAACTATAATTCTAGCAAATCTTAATTCTAATTAAGTTTAGGTTTAACCCCTTTTCAAGATTTTTTTTAATTATTATTTACTTAATTACTATTTATTTAATTTTAGAATTAGTCTAAATACTTAGATTTTTAGATTTAACTTAGAATTTTGTTTAGGTTTATTTCTAATTCAATTAAAATGTACATTTTCAAAACTAATTTATTTTCTCATTTTAAGTAAAAAAATCTTGCATTATTTTTATTATCTAATTTTTGTATTTTTATTTGTTTATTTAGTTTCTTATTAACAAAAAAAAAACAAAAGACAAAATACTTGCATTTGATTTAATTCTTTAGTCAATTGATAGAATAGATTTTCCTTTTTTCAAACTTTTCAAAACAAGAAAAAAACAAGAATCTTATTTCCTTATTTTTGTCAATTAATTTTTACTTCATAAGCTCGTTCCCATTTCGATTAATTCCTCGATTCAATTTGGTTGTATTGTTTGCCTATTTGATATTTAATTGCATTTGACTCATCCCCATTTGTAAAAAAATGTACCCCCCATTCCCGAAAACTCAGTAATAGCGTAGAATTTCAATTTCCGCAATTTATTGTTTTCCCTATACTGTATAGTAATTAGGCGTGTATGGAAAGACACAAAAACAATCGCTAGATAACCTAATTTCAACAAAATTAACTTGAATCAAACATACTTTTTCACACGCCTAGGATAACCTCGCTCGTTGCTTCGGAAATACAGTCATGTCCCTCGAATATGGGACGCTTTAGCAATGACCCTTCGATAAAAAAGATCGTAGTCCCTCGATGACCCTCGACGTTGCCTTCGATAAAACGATCTTGTCCCTTACGAAAATTGTTAAAACGTCTCATAAGTTGCTTTCGATGACTGTAAAATCGACCCACGCCTGTCCCTTCACATCCAACTATGGGGCTTCTTACCAAATTAATAGTAAGAAAGCAACATTAAAAGGAGGAAGAAAAGAAAAATTGAAAACCTTTCAAGTAGATAGATTCGCTCCTAGTTTCTCGTTTGCTCACGACAAAAAAAAACATTTTTACACCTACACTTTCATCTCAAAAATATTTTCAAAAGACAAAATGTATTGTATACGTTCTTATAGAGACGAGAACCATTACAAAGACATTTTTTCAAAATATTTCCAAAGCTCACACCACAAGCACACTGTCAAAATAAAAGCAAGTGATCTAAACGAGTAACTAAGAGCCCATGGAAAACCATGGATGAAAAGGGTGCTAATACCTTCCCTTTTCATAATCTACCCCCCGAACCCGAGAAATAATCTCGAAAGGTCTTTCCTGTGCTTTTTTACCTTTCCTTTCTTATAAAAGAAAAGTCGATGGCGACTCTTGCTATCCGCACAAATGCGATCAAAATGCAAACATCAAGCCAGTTCTCCCACCGTATCACAATTACGTTTTCATTAACCTGATTTAATTTTATCCGCAGTTTATCTGGAGACCATATTTGGGTATGGGCCATGAACCAAACCCCAAGGATGCAGCAATTTGGAGCGCAAAGACTGTAATCATACGGTTCAATATTGTGGAGATGCACCACAGCGACTGTGTGAAGATGCAGTTTGGAATGCATCAAGAGATACCCAACGATCCGACTTGTTTGTCCCCGTGGCATATCAAAAGGGTCTACGCCCAATGGGGTCTTACCAACTGGAAAGACTTTGCTCCAAAATGGTGTAAGATGTGGTAGAGGCGTCACCGACATGTCTTGCAATTCCCGGTTTTCCTCAACCATGGTAATATGCAACACACAGATCAATATTTATCTTGGTACAGATCGGTTAGTACCCCTGAAATGCACGTGTCTCATCCAAGGTATTTGGTTGACCCACGAACACATTGGGCACAACCCTCATTTCCCCAACAACAAACCCAACACACATCAACCTCCCACCAACCCCCCAGACGAAACAGAACCACAAACACCCAACCACAGTCACCACCACAATACAATTACACCCATATGCCCCACAACCAACCACAATCACCACCTCAGTACCAATACCCCCAAATGCCTCACACCCAACCGCAATTTCAATCACAATACCAACACACCCGCATACCCCACACATAATTTCAGTCTTCTGCATATCCCAATATGGGCCCCTCAACATCCAACCTTAGCCCTGATATGGGAATGTCGGAAGATTATGAACCAACCGACCCAACTTACCATCAACCACAATATCACCAAACCACCCAACATTCTCAATACCAAACACCCCAAGATCCATTTCCTTTCTACCCCCCATACTCATACGACCAATGCTACAGACCAACCATGGAACCCCACCCACCAGCAACACAACCAAACTTTGAGGGTATAGGTAACCGACTGTACCAAAGTGGATCTTCTAGATATAGAGATCTGACTGATTTCATGGATCCGGAACACATTGACTTCGCTGGGCCATCAACCCTGCCACAGCAGGAAACACGACGAAACCCAGCAAGGGAAAGGCGAGGACGGGGATGCGAAACCGGGGGTCATTACCGGGTTCCGGGGGACCACTGATTAATCTGTTTTTTTTACATAATACTTATGTGTGTAATCATATTTTGAAAATAAAAAGTCAATTTTATTGATCCTATATCGAATACGTAACGCACCGCATTGAAAAAAAAAACGCAAAAATTGCCCTAGAAAATGTACTAAGGCTCCATCTCACTTGGCTTAGGGCAAGCCCTAAGCACCTAGGCGCCAAGTGAGATGACGCCTCCCCTTAAAAAGTAGGTGTAGGCGCCAAGTGAGATGGCTCTTCCTTTGGAGAGTCATCTAAAACATGGTTATTTTCAAAAAAAAATTTAATACATGGTTATTCCAAAAAAAAAATTCCCATAAATTTTGAGATTCATTTCCGGACGCACTATTTTCACAATAAATAAGCACTAATTGTTGAGCACCTTTCACTTTGTGAAATTTTAATCCGGAGATCCATCTCCAAATGTAATTAAGGATTTGTTTGCAAATGCATCTCCAAATTAATCATTTTTTTAAACGAAGAGAAACTTTTAGAGATGCATCTCCAAAAGTTTTTAATATATACATATATCTCGTGTCAGACCCTGCCTCTCCACCTTCTTAATTTTCTATAAAAAATTCTTCTCCCATTTGAGCTCGTGATAAACCTTGTTCCATTCAATTCTTGAAGCAACAAGAGAACCTTTACTTCAAACTTAGTAATCCCAACTTACTCCACAATCTACATTGAACATTGTTCATCCTTATCAACACTTATTTGAGTAAGTTTTTCATTTAGCTTATTTTAATTTTTGATTAATGTATTAGGTAAAATAATTTACTTTCAATGCATTAGGTAGTATTAGAATTTGAAATAGTTAATGTTACAGACATACTCTATGATTTTGATGTATTTTGGGTTGTTAGGAAAAGAATGGGAACTGGTTCTGCCATTAAAGTAGAAGACAAAGCTTTTTCGGAGATGCATATTCGAAACTGGTCCTTTCTGATTTTCAGAGATGCATTTTCGAATTTGGTTCTTTACAGAATTTCCAGAATATGGTCCTTTCTGCTTTTCTAACTAATGTGTTTGTTTGATTTTTTCAGAAGAATGGTTGAAAACAACAAAAAAACGAGACTCGCCCGAGAAACCCTAACCGCATTCGCTCGTTACAAGAGGGCTCTTTAAAATGAGCATGCCAGAGCTATGCGGGAAACCGTCCCACCTAGGCCTCGTGACAAGGAAGTGTGCTCTTCTAGAAGCCGCCTATCACAGAGGTCCTCATCCCAGGCTCACATACACCAGGATGACGACATTTCTCCACATGTTTGGGCCAAAGAGGTATATTTGTTAACGGTTGTTAATTTTCTATTTTAACCAAATTCAATGCGACTGCTATTTGTTATATATTTCTTTAATAGGAACGCGGTTGTTTGAAATCTGTTAACCATGCCAGAAATATTCACACTCTTTTCAGCCTAAGGATGCGTGGTTCCTGAAGCAACCAGTTGAACAATCATCGAGAGAGAATCAATGAAGTCGCCATCAAACGTTTTTTATCCCACATGAAGGGAAAGGTAAACATTGAGTAAATCTGAGAAGGGTGAAATCACGAGAAAATGATCGAGAGATCGAGTAAGAGAGTCGATTATGCAAGGGGAAAGTATTATCTACCCTCACGTTTGTGGTACTCCACGTGATCCGCTCTTGTTGTTCTAATCAAATGGTGCATTCGAATCTAATGCTTACAACTTAAGAGCTAAAAGAAAAAAAATTCAAAGAAGGGAATGCATGCAAAAGAAAACACAGGGAAAAGAACAAAGTATTTACAAAGTTTCACTCGACTGAGCCCCGTGAGCAGAGTCCTATGTGTACCTTTTAAGGAATCAAAGTATCGTAGTTCGACTCAAAAGTTTATGTTTGTTGGTTGATTTTAAATGAAGAGACAAGTCGTCATTTTTAAAAGAGAAAACTCGTCTAAATGCCCACAGGGTATGGTAAAGAATAAAGGACTATGCACCAGCATGAGGGAGGGTTTGAGAACACCTCTAGTACTCAAGTGGAGATGTTGACAACCATAAGGAAAAAGGTTTGGATGGGGTTAAATGTTTTTTTAGTATTTTTTGAAAGTGTTTGAATAAACTTATGTGGTTTAGCATTTATTAAAGAAAAGAAGTTTTTGTTTTAATGATGCAAACATAAAAGAAAACATCTAAGGAAAACTATCTACCTCTATCCCTAATGTCATCATACAATGATGGTCCAAAGGTTGAGTTTGAAAGGGAAATCTCTACCTAAGTTAGTATGAATGGTTCACAACCTAATGTCTAACTCGAATCGAAAATGAAATGAGTAAATCCTAAGGGAGCATGGTATATACAAGAAGCAAAAACAAACAAGCAATCAACAAGCTCTAACAAAGAGAGGACATAAAATTCATGAGTGATGCATACTAACTCAAGTCAAAAGACCTAACCAAGATATCAAATCATCGAGGTGGGTAAAGGGGGGGGGGGGGGGGGGGGGGGGGGGGGGGGGGGGGGGGGGGGGGAGTTCCTGACCATAGATAGGAAATAAGCGGTAACAAAAGCTACTCTTAACCAAGGTATCGTATCACCGAGGCAAGAAGTAAAGAGAGTGGGGAAAATGTCCAAAGTGACTAAGCACCTAAAAAAGATATCAAGAATCAAGATAAGAAATAAAAGACAATATGAACAAGCATGAAGCATCAACAGATCAATGTGAGCTCAAGACAAAGTGTGGAGGTTTGGCTGCAGAGCCCTTTTCCACTCAACCGACTCGATAACAAGAGTAAGCACGGTTCAAAGCATCAAAATACAATGTGAGCTAGAAACGAAATGGACTAGAATGTGTGGGGGTCAATTTCGGACCCTTATCCACTAGCCTTCTTTGAGGACTTATCAATGGGGTATGGGAATTGACGCCTTCATCGAGGTCTTTGGCACAAATGTAAACAAGAACAAGTGGAAATTGCCTTAAACATGTCTTTAAGTAAACCAGATTTGCCTCAAAGGGACTCCCAGAACATGCATATCTATTCCTACTTCTCATGGAAAAGAAATCAAAAATAAAATGCCGAATATAAACAGGATAAGCACAATACCAAACGATCAAAAAGTCTGTAGCAAAGCAATATCAAAAGCAAAAGAAACTCGAAGATATTCACAACAGCTTTACCAACAAAGAAAAGGTATCAAAATCTTACCAAATAAATGTGGAGTTTTCTGAACAGAAGCCGATTCAATAACAAAACATGGATGAAGAATCATGGAAGTAGTACTATGTAGGTGTTGTAGTAGATGCGGATTTTTGGTGTGACAGAAGTTGATGCGGAAGCTAACATGGCAAGAGAACTGAAGATGAAGAGGGACTGCATGGAAGTTGCACGGTGAATTTCTGTGGGAATGGTGAGAACAAAGGGGATTAAGCAGTGGGTAACATGTTGACTTGATTGAAGAAGGGAGTTGAATTGGTTGGTGGTGGAACGACCGAATCGGAAGATGGTGTTGGCGGATTAACGGTTGTATCGCGGATCTATGATTGACTCACGGAGGAGTATGTTGGTGATGATATTAACATGCGATTAGCAGAGAAATGGTATGTGATGGATCGCAAGGGTGATGACTGTAAGAAGATGAGACAATATGAGGGAGAAGAAGTTACATGACTGATGATGGATACAACAATGCATTTAGAGAATCCCCCCCCCTCTTCTTTTCTTTCATGATTTGGATCTGATATATCAAAAAACTCCCCCCTTTCTCTCGTGTCCACGCTTGTTATCACAAACTTTCCCAACCTTATCCTCTTAGGTCTTTCATATAGTCAAAGTGCCCTTTTGTAAGATATTTGTTAGTAAACATATACATATTAAACACTATATCTAAATAAAAATTGAATAATAAAACTAAAACATTAGATTATCTAATTAGAACGTTTTATATTTTTTTTACTAAATACTAATAATAAAATAGAATTTAAAAATTATAAAAAAAATAAGTTTGGATAAAGATTTAAATCAAAGTAAAAAAAGCAAAAAAGTGCGAGAAATGCAATGATTAGAATAAAAATTGATTGGATATAAACACTGCGAATGAGAACTCAGGGTAAAATTTGGGGTACAACAACTGCCCCTATTTAAATATCTTCAACCAGATGACATGAAGATGATCAAGCTTCATATAATTGTAGTGGGAGATGATTAAATACCAAAGAACCCAAAATTTTACCCTAAGACACAATGGGTTTGCCGTGAATGAAATGTGACGAGAATGCGATGAATGCGCAAATCCTTTTATATATATATATATTTTTTGAATGACGTACAATATGAGATAGACTCTTCTTTTTTGTTATATATTTTTTTAATGATGTATGGTACGATACAAACTCTGGAAATTATTGGAAAGACTCGAAACTGGAAATTTGTGGTAGTTCAATAATATGACGTGGAAAGACATGCTGAGGAAACACAAGATGTTTTGGATATCCCTCAAGGTGATAAGGAGTAACCCGAAATACTTGCGAAGAGAGAGATAGAATCCTCAAAAGATAAAACATGACATCCAATTACCTTCTTTGGACGAGGAAGACCATATCATCTAATAACCTGCTTTAGACGAAGGGAGAAAGAAGACCACGATATCCAATAACCTACTTTGGACGAAGGGAGAAAGAAATACGACATCCAATAACCTGCTTTGCACGAAAAAATACCACATCATCTAATAACCTATTTTAGATGAAGGGAGAAAGAAAACCACGACATTAAATAACCTGCTTTGGATGAAGGGATAAATAAATATGACATTCAATAACCTACTTTAGACTAAGGAAGACCACATCATCTAATAAACCGCTTTAGATGAAGGGAAAAGAAAACCACGATATCCAATAACCTGCTTTGGATGAAGGGAAAACGAAATATGACATCCAATAACCTGCTTTGGACGAAAGAAGACCACATCCTCTAATAACATTTTTTAGATGAAGGGAGAAAGAAAACCACGACATCAAATAACCAGAATTAGATGAAGAGATAAATAAATACGACATCCAATAACCTGCTTTGGATAAAGGGAAAGAATCTCTGGAAAACACATAAAAAACAATTGAAGATACATCACAGTCATCCAGGAATGGTACTGGATGGAAAAGACCATGAAGATCTAATAACCTGCTTTGGATGAAAGAAAAATAAGGTATCCAGGAATAACACCAACAAGGAAGAAGAGACAAACATCTAGGAATGTCACTGGAGTGAAAAGACATGACATCCAGAAATGGAACTAGAGTGAAAAGAGACATACATCCAGGAATGGAGATGGACGAGGAGAGAAACGCTCCACTTAAGAATGTGACTTCCAAATATGGCGTTGGATAAAATTGATAAGTATCATAGTATTAGACGAAAAGATAAACGAACAAACTCACATCTATTTTGGTAAGTGCCAAGTAAGTTGGACTTTGATCGCAAGGTAAGATGTTGATAGCAACAAGACCTCGGGAAATGTAAATGAGGATAAAAACTCTTGCTATGCATTGATATTGAATTTTGTGGTGCATGATATATGAATGATCTATGCATGTAATGAAGACGTTTATGACAATGAAGCTTGACTCTTTTGTGGAGGTAAGATTGAAACTCTGATTCTTCAACACAGGGAACACTGCCAACTCTGCTTGGAAAGAAGATTTCTTGAATACATATTTGTCACGGTTGTAAATTGTATCGAACTGATGATCTTCTGAGGAAGAAGCTGCTTGGAGATTGCCTCAAATTAACTGACTGTTGTGGATAAACTTATCACATCTTCAGTCGAAAGTTTGCTGGGAATAAACTGATCACGGCTTCAGTTCTTGAAATAACTGAGGGAGGATTTCCCCATTATGAGTCTTGAAAAAGAACTTCTGGTTAACCAATTTTGAGAATAACTTGCACTGAGCTACAAATATTGAACTGATTCACAACAGGATCTGGAGGACACTTTCCCCTGATAGGATCACTGACCAATTTTCTCTATTGTTTGGAAATTCCTTGACGAGGAAAGCTTGTTTGCAAGCAAAAATTGTTCATTCAAACAAGGTAATTTTAAACGCAAAGTTCAAAGCAAAAGTTTTGAAATCAAAAAATCATTTTTGGAATGATATTATTGGTGTATAGAAAATGAAACACTTACTAAAACACGGCGGTTTAGACATTTAAAGTGAAATAGAACGCAAAGGTATGACACCAAGACAAATGATTTGCAAAAGATCTTAGGATTCAGTTTATGCAATATTTTTGTAATATGCTTTCAAAATAAATCTGACTTCAATTAGGTATTTTAAGGGTTGTAACATGGTCTGGTTCATGGTTTAATAAACAAAGTATAAAGGCTCAAAATTTATTTGTACCCAACCCAATCTTCGTGATGTTCTTTAGTCCTACGCTCAGTTAATTCAGACTGTGCATCCAGGTTCCAAGAGAATTTGGAATTGTATTGATGATAGCAATGATGATGCTCATAAGCCAAGGGATTTTGAGATGGAAGTCACTTCTCTTTTACCACATTTTGTTGTTTTTAAGGACTTTAGTAAACTCTTTTGGAGAATTTTGAGGATTTGAGGACCTCTTTCTTTTGAAATTGATATCCCTAACTTTTTCCTGAACTGTTTCATTTGAGATTACAGTCAGCGGAATGCCCTAGCTTTTGCCTAAGTCTCCTTCATAGGTTTTGACTTAGCCAGATTTTCTTTTGATTTTTTCATTCTTTTTTTTTTGGAAAGATAGTGACCGCCTAGCTTAATGATTATGGGGAACCATTATCGACTATTTTAATTTAAAGAACATCTTCGACACTTCTTGTTGTGTGTGAAGGAAAGCTTGATTTCAACCTTTATTAAAAGGTATATTGCATGATTTCTCTTGTAATTGAATGCACAGATAAATTAAGTGAGAAACTACCCATCCCTAGGTTAAGATTTCATGTTTTTTCGTATAGAAAGAAACTACAATTTCTAGGCTCAAAGGGGTTGACAAGGGATTAACTTCCTTATTTCTCCAGTGTTTGAGAGGTAAAATAATGCATGTACATCCTCAGTAAAGTTTTATTAGAAAGCATACCAACAACAATTATGGGTATTTCGTTTTCATCATCCTCCGTCAAATATTTGCATACACAAAAGCTTTATAAAGAAAGTAAATAGGATATGTTTTTGAAAGCATTAAATGAAAATGAATTGAATCAAAATAATACAATGTTAATTTCATTAAAATTAACACGAAAGTACAAACAAAGTTTGAAAGCAACAATTTAACATAAACAAGGGAAAATGCAAACAGAAATAAACATGGCCTAGTGAACAATCAGTAACAAGGATGAGTTGTCATGTCTAAAACACTGGCTTTAGGAAGTCTTGAGATACTCTGGTCTATTCTTCAGCCACTTTATCCTGGAAAAGGATTGTTGATAATATTCGGAGTAGGAGCTTCAAAATTTATCACTTGTCCTCTAATCAACTCTTGCACCCTAGCCTTCAGTGCATAACAATGTTCCAAATCATGACATGCAGCTCCCTGATGGAACTCATAGTAAAGATCAGACCTGAATCCAGCTGGAAGGTGGGGGATTTAAAGACCTTGTTGTGATCAAACCTAGTTGAACCAAGCGAGGATACAATTTAGTTCATGTCATAGGAATATGATTAAATTGACCCTTATTCCCTATATTGCAATTCTGATTTCGTCTGACAACCTGATGTTGGGGAACCTGAACTGGTTAAGCATTAACCACATGAGTAACAACATCTACTTCTGGTTTACCATAGTACTGAGGCCTATGACAAGGTCCTATCATCTCAGTCGAGACAACATTGACTTCTACCTCTTTCTTCTTTTGGAAATTCCCAAAGGATTTCCTTGCACCATTAGAAGATTCACCAACAACTTTAGACACTTTACCATTCTTGATGCCTTCTTCTAACCTTTGGACAATAGTCACCAAATCTATGAAGCGAGAAGACACACCACCAATCATCTTCTCCCAAAAGAAAGGAGACAAAGTATCCAT